AATTTAATCTCATATAAATATTTTTAAAAAACTCGGTTTACTTTTTTATTATTATTATATTATTATTATTATTTAACTGCATTTCATGCTTTTGTGAAGAAAAATATGAGCATTTTGTGGAAAAAAAAATGTTTTTATTTATTTATTTATTATTATTATTATTTTTTTTTTGTATGACTACCAACATACCATCAACACGAAGGCATCTCAACGTTTTTCTCATTGCTTTGACTTTCGAATCTCTAGAATTATCCATTAATATAATTATAAATAATATTTATTCTTATTTATTTATTTTCTTCTCAGATAAATCCAGAATGTTCTATCATGAGAGGGCACACTCTCCAATGCAGACCATGATATAGTTTGATAGTTCAAATAATAACAAAGATAAAAATGAAGATTAGGGGAAAAAAAACTTACAATTCAATAATAATTAATTAATCTATGTTCGAGTTAAAATTAAAAGGTTACCAATACTCCAGCCATCGGATCAAGCTCATGCATAATACTCCTAACCATTGGGTAAATTTTATATTTAAAGTCCGCACGAGTATTACGAGGTGACTATATTGATCAAATCTGATGTACACTTTCTAGATATAAAATTTCGACGTTCATGTTGAGACATTACTTCGCCCTAAATATTTCATTAAATTAAAATTTTAGTTCATATAGTTCAAGGATTCAAATGTTTGGCTATGAATGATGATACCCATTGTACACCATTCTAATGAGAAAATATGCACAAATTTCGAAAACAAAAAAAACCAAATAGTTAACCGTACAATTTCTATTTGTCATATGAACGTGCACACAAGCCACATACATATGAACGAGTTTATAAGAAAAAATCTAAATAAGACTGGCAAACAATTTGAGAAAACTAAAACTAACCGTCAATCAGGCTTGATTCAAAAGGGACTCGAATTCAAAATATTTCCCATTGAAACTTGACAAGGTCGACGTATGGGGATTGGACAACAAGGCATAACTTAAATTTCTGTTTTTCGGTAGGATCGACAAGCATGTCGCAAAGGGTCAGCTCGGAAACCATTTTGTAGCATGACATTCCAATGCTTAATTTATCAAAAAGCCTCCAAGAAAGTAGTCAGGGTATAAAGCAAGGATGTTTGTTCTAAGAAGACACAGCAGAAAGCAACATAAAAAGAAAAAATTTCATAGACACAACTTTGAGACTTGTATCTCAAATCCTATCCTTATCCAACTCCACAAAATCGATATTTGAAACGGGTCGATCAATAATTCACCTTCCAGACAACATTGAGGAAGAAAACGAAACAAACACATTATTTGAGCATTACAGTTGAAAGAACAATGATAAAACACAGGAATATGCGAGATCTTACAGTACTTCAACAGCTATAACCCACTCTGGCTCATTCTTGCCCCTCCTTTTGCTTAACAGATATGATAAAAGTAAAGTGTCCACCTATCTAAATTCCTCGTGCGTTTACAAAGAACATTCGTGATGCAGGTCTAAGGACGCGTTATTTTATTTTATACTGTGAGCGTTCTTACTAACTTGCACACATCTCGACTGTTCTCTCGAGACAAATCATGGTTACAATATCCAAATTAGGTTCTGATATCTTTTTAGCTGCAGCTTAATGTTTTACTCTTAAGGACAAATCATACCATTCAGAAACGTTCAGTAGGTTTCCTAGGGAAGATCAGATTAGGTAAATCTAAGTCATAAAAAGCATAAATCAAATCTGAAAGCAGTAAAATAGAGAAATAGTAACCTTCGAATCATACCTGTGCCATGAAGAAAAAAATAAGGAAATCTTTGGTCCTGCAGTTCAAGCAGGTTCATCAGAAGACAAGAAGAGAGAACCAATCCAGAAGCTGCAAAGAATGGCCACCTTTCAGTACTTTCCCTGCAAAAAGAAATCCGGTAGTTTCATGGTTTCATTAAGCTTGAATTCAACATCATCGTTTCTTGTATGCATTATACTGCAAAAAGGGAAATTGGACTTTGACTACAAAGTTCCCAAACCAAGGAGCCAAAAGATTCAATATCACAACTCAATAACAGAACAAACAGTTGAAAACACAATGTGAGAGATGAAAAGAGACGCGAGACTGAGACCGAGACCTTCTCGATAAAATTTTCACAAGCATTTGCATCTCTGAAAAAATCCTGAGTAGAAATACAAGGAACTCAATGTAAATTACAAGAATGGCCGTACTACAAGGAAGATATGCTGTTAACTAAAGCAACAATTGCACCAGCTAATACCAAATACCTAGATTAAATTACTAACGCCAGTCAATATATTTATTCACAACTGATTGAGTTCTTGCGGGTTCTCCATAGACTTCCTAAGAATGTATTCAGCTCTTCGTTTCCTATCATCCCTTTCATCATACCGTCCAACCAAGACTGTTGTTCTACTAATTCCTTTCTTTTGAATGTTCAAATCCAAAGAATCACCAAGAAGCTTCTTCCCTGTTTTAAACTTAAATTGAACAGGATGCCTAGTAGTGGGAAGATCCTTCTTCTCACCCTCGTCGTCGTCATAAAAGCCACTGCCTTTAACAGCTTCTATGACCGGAGCAAATGCCTCTAACACAGAACCACTGTCATCAAACACATGATCTGAATGTTTAAGAGGCGATTTGGCCACGGAAACAGCATCCTTCCTCGGTTGTAATTCTGAATCATGGGATGTGTTACTATTCAAAATAGGTAATTCTTCCTCTATATTGCCAGTATCAACAACCAACCGCTGCTGCAGACTTAAAAACGACTTCTCTGCCTTTCTCCTCTGCTTTGCTTGCTCAATCTTATCGGTGCGAGGGTCCGTTGTTCTCTTATTCCACACTGGCGTATAAATGTAAGTGTGGGGATCAGGAAAAGCAGGTAGCCAATTGGGTATATGTTTACTAGGAGGTGTTTCCCTCATTTGAATGAAACTCGGAAGCACGTTGCAGTTCTTAATAATAGGAAACTGCGGCACTGGCTGAGCAAATGGAATCTCTTGCACCGAATACATATACTCCAAAATTTCTTGAATTGAACGTGAACCTGCAAGACAACGGCTAACCTCAGCATCTTGACTAGACCCAAGTGCTTCTAAATCTTTAAGTCCTCTAACAATGTCAAACACATTACACTCAGTTCTTCCAGCTAAGTTAGAATAGAAATTCGCCATCTTTCCCACGTTACTAAGATACACTATTACAATTTCCGCCAGCGTGTCCAAAGCAGACTCCTTCGATCCCTGAAATCCCAGACTCTGGCATATCTGTGCTGCTGCAATCTTCGACGCCGCTCGCCCAAAATCATCAGCTCCAGCTCTTCTAAAACGATCCACCTGATTTTCAATCTCTCTCGTAATTTTCCCACCTCCATGGCTCATATTCAAATTCTCGAGTCATTTATGGCTTTCACTGGGCCTGCGTGATTCACCCCATTACTAAGCACTAAAATCAAACAACTTCCAATCAAACGTCATATCAGAAAAGTAACCGCTCTCATCTGGCCTATTAATACCAAATGGGGGGAAAAAACGCGCTCGAAATTCAAAATTGAAAGAGCAGGCCAGCAGTTCCTTGAAAGTCCGCGGGGGAGAAAAGGATTCCCTCCCTCTGAGACCCGTAATTGCAGAGACTTCAAAACGAAACCGAAAGAAGCAGGTCTATCGAAAATTCAAAATGACGAACCAGTAAGCCTGAAGAAACTCACAAAATTAGCCAAGAAAAGCACAGATTCCCCCGAGCTTTCCCACAAGTGATATGGAATCTTCGATTAACACAGATTCTTCAAAGCCGAGAAGACTCCAGGATGGAACAACAAAATTAAAACCCTAAGAAGAAGATCGTTAGGGTTTACAGGAAGTCAGCGAGATGGAGGGAATCCAAGAATTCAAACGAAAATGGAAAAAAGAAATTTGACGGAGGAAAATGGATAAACCCCGGCAAGACCCTTGGAAATAGAGATCGATGAGGAAAGAAAATTTTTGAAGAGGAAAAAAAAAAAAAAAAAACCAGAGAATGAGAAAACGAGATCGATGAATAACCGAGCTGTGATGATGCATGTATTTATATAGCGTCGAAGAAACTCTTTTTTTTTTTTTTTTGGAGTTTTGTCTGATTTATTTTCATTTTGGGCTTTCCATATGGGCCTTGGAAAGCCCACTAAGCTCTCTCGAGTCTTAGTTCACAATTAATTTTTATTTACAATTTCTTAAATAATAGAAATAATTTTAATCGGGAAGATTAATAAAAATATTTTTTATATTAAAAAAATTAACAAGAAACCAAACTAATTTTAAGCATTAAAAATATAAGAACTAAATTTAAATATTAAAAAATTAAAATACATGACCAAAATATATTTAATTTTTTTATGGGAACTAGAAAAAAAAAATTATCCGTTATCGTAGCGCTTTATGTAGGCCTCGTGTCTACCTCTTCGAGGAAATCCGCCCCCCTTCTAGGCCTAGCGTCTTTATTGGCAATCCACCTCGTGTCTACTCCCTTCGGAGAATAGCTTCTTCGCTGGCACATCGCCCGCCGCTTGGCTTGATACCATTTGTTAACACCCCAGGCCCACCGCGGGGAGATATTGTGTCCTCTTTGAGCATTCCCTACTTTAAAACGCGTCTGCTAGAGAAAGGTTTGAGCATTCCCTCAAGGCTTTAAAATGCGTCTGCTAGGGAAAGGTTTCTACACCGTTATAAGGGCGTTTCGTTCTCCTCCCCAACCAATGTGGAATATCACAGTTATCTAAAGGGGGGACAACGATAAAATCCCGAAAATGAAATATATATATATATATTTTTTGCTATATTAAAATTTAGTTGATGATAAATTTATTTTTCAAATAATAATAATATAACTAATTAGCCTATGGAAAACTAGTGAAATTAACTACAAAGACGTATTAAAAATAAAATAGAATGCTCAAAATAGAAATTTTGAGCATTTTATAATAAATTAAATTAGTGTTGAAATTATTTTATTTGCAAATTAAATCATCTCTTGCCTCCCTCTTCCCTTTCTAGAACACCTGGTCTATCCAAAATCTATGGCACAAACACAGCAACGAGCATCCAGAAAAATTCGATAATGGCGTTTATGCATCTTCATCATCATCTTCTTCCATCGCCGTCTCTCTTATTCTCGAAAGCTTCACCGTCGGTTTCCAGATCATTATCTTGCTTGTCTACGCCATCATTTCCGTCCAAAAAATCAACTGATTGCAGCAACTGGCTTCTTCGTTTTCCCCAAAAATCTCTGAGTTTTGCGCTTTCTGGAGCTCTCGCGCTCGGAATAACTATCTCAGGTAATCACTCATTTTTGCAAATTATCATAGTTAAGATGAATAAAGAATGTTGAGTTCTGTGAGCTGTTTCGGGATTCGATGTTTAGATTATGAAATTAGGTCTGACATTATGATGGAATTGTCTCTACCTTGTTATAGAAAGTTTGGATTTAGTCGATGCTAACAGTAATTCAGTGAGCGTGCCTCGTAGGAGTTGGATTTGCGGACGCTATAGTTGGGGTTAACAAACCAGAATTGCTTCCCAAGGAGTTCACCTCTGTCATTGATGTTGCTGGATTTCTATCTGATGGTCAGGTGTGGTTGCTTTGCTTCATCATTTTTTTTTCTTCTTTTTGTTGTGTTCTTTGATGTATTTTTTGTGCATTTGATCTTCATCATGTGGCCATTGCTGTTTCTGATTTTTCTATGAACAGGAAATTAGGCTGAAACAAGAAATTGCTGACATTGAGAAGGATACTGGTTATAAGTTGCGAGTTTTGGCCCAAAATTATCCTGTGACACCAGGTTTGTTCTATGGTTTATCGTCTTCATCTTTCAGCAACTTGTATCAGGAATCAAAACACGTTCCTATTGTCTTCAAGACTTCTGCTACTCCCACGCTTCATCAGCAGATAATGGAATTGCTCAGTTTTAATGTTGAGGACTTCATCACTAAATCTATTAAAATACATTGACTGAATCTTACTAGAAAATTGTATGTTTAAGCGTAACTTCAATTTATTAATGCTTCATAAACTTTGAATATTTCTCACACACACACATTGTCAAGCTTCTTGAGCTATGATTTCCAATCTAATCCGCAGAAACAATCAATGTAATGCTTTTCACAGGGCTGGCGATCAAAGATTTCTGGCAAGTGGATGATAGAACAATTGTGTTTGTTGCCGATCCTACATTTGGTATGCACAATGTTAGGACACTTTCCTCCCCATATGTCTTTGATGACAATGACATTCTATTGATATCTTCATTCAGGTAACATATTGAACTTCAACGTCGGAACATCTGTCGATTTGGACATTCCACGGAGTTTTTGGAGCCGTTTGGCTGGAAAGTATGGAAACATATTTTATTGGAAAGAGAAGGTAATGTCTCCAATAGATACTGTTGAACACAACTCTTTATTAACACTAATAAAAAAGAGATCAAAACTCCTGCACTCTGTGCTTTAGATTTCTTGAGATGAAAACCTTGATAGGTTGGAGGGATGTTTATAGTAGAGGCTAAACAATTTATTCCTAAAATATTTAACGGTTGTGAGCTTTTTCTATGTTCACGTGTTCATAATCAGCATCTCATATTATTATCAATCTGGTGACTTAAACAGGGTGAAGATGCGTCTATTGAATCAGCTGTCATTGCAATATCTAATTGCTTGAAAGAACCAGTTGGGCCAAATAACTGTTCTGAGATAAAATAACAGCATCAAACAATTTTGTAAGTATACTAGATTTGGATGTTCTGCCAATGTTGCATTATATATAGCCTTGTCTTGCTGCAATTTGCATGTCTTAAATGAAATCCTGTTCTTTTCCCTTTTCAAGAATGTGGTGTAAGTCTATTACTTGCGAAAAGAGCACTGGCAATAGTGATAAAGAAAAGATATGGAGGAATTTGATTCATTGCGTAGACATTTGTATCTCAGCTGTGTAGAAACCAAGAGAAAAAAATGGAGGTGCAACTTTTTAGTTGCCTGATAGCTGGTTATGATATGAACACTACTCGGTGCAATCCACTTCCCATTTTACTCTGTTTTCTTCTGTAGTTCCTCATGTTAGATGAACACGACTCTCCACAATGGTATGATATTGTCTACTTTGAGTATAAGTTCTCATGGCTTTATTTTGGGCTTTTTCAAAAGACCTCATCCCAATAGAGATAATATTCCTTGATTATAAACCCATGATCGTTTCCTAAATTAGCCGATGTGGGATTTTCATCATCCAACACCTCCCCTCGAACAAAGTACATCTCCCCTTAATCGAGGCTCGACTCCTTTTTCTTTTGGAGTCTTAGTCATTTTTTACTATGCCTTCGAGGAGGCTCGACTCATTTTCTTTTGGAGTCGTTTGTTCGACATTTGAGGATTTACCAATCTTTTGGCACAACTAAGTTTAAGACATGACTCTGATACCATGTTAAATGAACACGATTCTCCACAATTGTATGATATTGTCCACTTTGAGTATAAGCTCTCATGGCTTTGCTTTGAGTTTCTCCAAAAGGCCTCATCCCAATGGAGATCGTATTCCTTGATTATAAACTCATGATCATTCCCTAAATTAGCCGACGTGTGATTTTCATCATCCAACACATGCGACTATTTTAGAGCTCCCCTGTGTTGGGATCCATATTCTTTCTTTCCCAACTCACGATAGCCTTAAGAATGTAGGGTCAGACAAGAAATCCAAATTCATGACAATCTCTTTCTCATCACCATCCGCTGCACATACAAGAAAATGGCCTTCTTCTATGTCTTCTGGCATCAAACTGCCTCTTCGAATTCTTCGGCGAAACTTTCGGGTTTCGGTTCTTTAGATTGCAGTAGGGAGAGGCTCATTTGGAGCGTAGTGATGAATAATCTTAGTATCTGTTGTAGTAGTGAATAATCTTAGTATCTGTTGTAGTAGGAAGTGAAAGTGAGATTGATCGCTCTCATACCCCATAAACAAAAATAAACAAAGAGACAAAAAAATTTACATGGTTCGGAAAGAATAAATTCTCCAATATCCATGGGTGGTAGTCCACCACATATCTCACACTCTCACACTATGAAGTCTCTCTCACACAATTCCTTCTAATTGCCTCTAGGCAAATATAAAATGACACTAACTCTATATCTCATAACAATGCTAGACAAACATTGATAGACATAGTAATATTAATCCTCATATATGAATCAAGATTATTCATGTACGGATATGAAGAATGTATCAATATTACATGAATCGAAGGAGAAAAAAATACCAAAAGTATTCATGAATTCAAAAGATTCATGAACCAAATCTTCATGACAGTTCTCAACCGTATCGATATTTCCCATTTGTTTCACTATTTGATGTGGTAAACAAATGTTATATGAATCAAGATTATTCATGTACCGATATGGGAGAATGTATCAATATTACATGAATCGAAGGAGGAAAAATACTAAAAGTATTCATGAATTCAAAAGATTCATGAACCAAATCTTCATGACAGTTCTCAACCGTATCGATATTTCCCATTTGTTCCACTATTTGATGTGGTAAACAAATGTTATTGTGAACTTCAAGCTTCGGATAGAGCCGATTGGGAGAAGGTTTGTATCTCGTTAGGATGTACATCAAAAATTGCACTGAAGCTTACAAAAATATATTGTGAATTAAATTGAGTTAGGTTCGTCATGTAAATGTAGACCCAATTCAAATAATTTTGCTATGTGAAGCTTTAAATCATAGTTTATAATTCGTCTTCAACTTCGTTTTCATTGAATCTAGAATAATCTCGAATTAACTTATGCACATTGAACATCATAATAGTCTAAATTGTACGGTCACTTTTCCTTTCTTCCTTCTAATGTAAAGTGGTTTGAAGTTGATATTTGAACTTTCGATAACCTAATTATATCTAACTAATTTTCATTAATGGAACTACTCCTACAACTCCTAATTGCTTATTTAATGCTTTAGCTTAACCAATATACTTTCGTTAATTAACACTTTTTTCTTTTAGACCTAAGAAAATCATGATTAGGATGGCAGACCTAAAATTATGAATCCTGACTATTGAAAAATCTACATTGATCGGGAGAGCAATAAAGTAACGATATTTTTTACCAAGTCAAAAAATAGATCCCGTCACATCACTTTCTTTCCATTTTTTATATGAACTTAGAATTTGGACGAGATTGTATCAAAAGAATCATGTAAGGCGTTCTCATGCATAGCCATGTTTTCCTTGTACTTTTTTATTTGTTTATGTTTATTGATTGCATTAGAATGACGATATTCGTACTATGCTTCTTAAGGGAGGAGATTTTCAATAGCCCGTCTCAGACTGTTGATGCTCAATTCGTACAGTTGATTGTTCTTTGATGAATGAATCTTTGGTTAGTAACAGTTGTTTCTGTAAATAGCTTACAAATTCGTGAGTTACCACTTTTAAAGAATTTGGACGACACCTTCATTCTTTACCGACTTGAGTTAATTAAAATAAATTGTTAGTGATTTAAATTTTCTCGGCATATAATTTAATTAAAAAAAATTATGCCATGTAATTTAAAAATTACAATCTCAATTATCCCGTCATTATCTGTGGGTTTCATAATTCATTCTCTCCTTTTATAATTTTTAAAATTTTCAAATGGCTAATTTAATCAAAATTATCTTAATAAAATAAATTGCGTTTATTGGTCAAAATAAATTGGAAAAAGAAATAAAATCAAACCCAAACAATCACCACGTAGTGTTTGAATTATGAACTACAACCATTATTAAAAAGATTAGGAAGTAAAATATTCATCCGAATTTCAAATGAAATATTCATATATTGACCAAGATAACCATAACAAAAATATTGTATAAACTAAAATAAATTATTACAAGATATTAAAATAAATACTAATAGTGGCTACTATAACTTATTTGTTATAAATTAAAATGGATTTTATAAATTTAATGCACATTTAATGGTAACAGTGAAATAACAAGAAATTGTTTTAAAATAGAAATATAAAAATTAAATGCGAAAGACTTTGGGATTTAAGACTAAAATACAATTGAAAGATTGTTTGAATTTTGGACCAAAAAAACTTAAAATTATTGTAATCTGAATTAAATCTATGACCATTTGGTTTTTAGTCTTTTATTTTTAAAAATTATGTTTCATATTTTTCAATCAACTATTGTCTTAAAATTTGCTTGTTCATATATATAAAATAGATAACTAAGTAATAAAATTTATAGGTGAAAATAATACTTATAAATTTAATTTTTTTAAAAAAATACCAAATGGTTTTTAAACTAGATATGCTGTTTGGGAAGGATGAGTTGCTCACGAGAAGGAATCTATTGATTCTCTCCCAATTGGTTGGATCGAAGGTGCGATAATTTACTTCATGGGCGAGGTCTCTAGTTCAAGTCCAAGATGGCCCAGCTACGCCAAGGAAAAGAATAAAAGAAGCATCTGACTCCTTCATGCAAGTCCCACTTGGCTCGGGGAGATATAGCTCAGTTGGTAGAGCTCCGCTCTTGCAATTGGGTCGTTACAATTACGGGATTGGATGTCTAATTGTCCAAGCAGTAATGATAGTATCTTGTACCTGAACCGATGGCTCACTTTTTCTAAGTAATGAGGAAAATGACCAAAATATGCCACTGAAAGACTCTACTGAATCAAAGATGGGAAGTTGGTCAGATCTAGTATGGATAGTAGTTTGTTTGATAAATATTTAATTTTTTGTTTTTATACATTATCTTTCTTTGGTAAGATATAAAAATAATATGTATTTTGGTATTTGAGAGTTGTTGGAAAGTCCCACTAACTAAGTAAATTATAGTGAGTTTATAAATAAAAATTGGGAGTTTATGGTTAAAGTAGACAATATCATTTATTTTGGAGGGTCGTAATTTCTAACCTAATATCAAAATCATGTATTTGACGTCAAATATCCATTGTAGATAGTCGTGATTCCTAATAATAATGTATCAATGCAAACTATGCTCCCCTGGAGTTGGAAGCCATAGCTTAAATCTTATCTTGAACCAAAAAGATATAAACAATTTAATCTATTATAAATGTGGGCAAAAATCATTTAAGGAAATCTTATACTTCTCTATTATTATGTCGGTTATTTGAACCGAACAAAAAGTACACTAAAATAATGAAAAAAAGAACGACCAACTCCCCCAATGAATTGAATTGGACTAACTAGCCGCAGCAGATCGGCCGGGATGCCGGCCGGCACACCAGAATAGAACAGAAATCAAAAAACGATTTATCTAATTCTTCTTCTTCTTCTTCTTTCTTCTAAGATTTTAATTCATTTACAGCGTATGTATTACGTCAGGCTATAGCAGATGGATGTCTGTGCACTCACATGACGGAGCAAGCATTTGGATTCTCGTCGCTGAACATCTGAGGCGCGTGAGAGTTATCGTACATCGCGTAACCTTGGTTAACGTAATTCTGGTTTGTGTAATAGCTGCTGGAATTTGCGAAGCCGTGGACTGGATAACTCGTCTGAGCATCCATGGCGTGACCGCCGTAGTAAAATGCTGAAGGCGGATATGAGTAACCGCTGAACTCCATCTTGCTGATTTCCATTTTTGCGCCACCGCCGTCTCCTCCGCTGGAGACGACTTTAGCGTCCTTTTCTTTCTTGTCACCGGCAGCGGCGGTTGCTTCTTTCTTAGGAGGAACTACTTCGACGGACCTATTGAACTTGCCTTTGAGGTACGTTGCAAGGTCTTTTCCGTCCATGGTGCCTTTCACTGTGACCAGATCCTTTTGGCCGTCTATTGTAATTCCATTGACACCTATAAAATTTCAGAGACGTCGAGTTAGTACTTTCTATTATAGATTGTATAATCTCTTCCAATTGAAATTGATTTTTGAGTCGGAGTTAAATCTCTCTTCACCTTTGTATTTGATGACTGCCTTCCTTATCTTCTGAATGCAACCTTCGCAGTGTAATTGCATCTTCAAGACTACAGTACTCTGTTCCAGAAACAAATTGAAACGAAATTTAGTTGCTATTTCAAGTATGTGGTACTGAAATCGCTAGCGAATATAAAATTACTTCGAAAATATAACTGAAGATGGAGATGAGGCCAAGAAGCGCGTTCTAGAGAAACACGATGATTCATATTGAATATTTCTAGTATTACCTCTTTTGCCTTTTTGTCGTCTGCCTTTTTCTCTTCGGATTTCTTCTCGGCCTTTCCATCGGCCTTCTTCTCGGCTTTTTCGTCAGACTTCTTTTCTGACTTTCCGTCGGCCTTCTTCTCTGATTTTTCATCGGCCTTCTTATCGCCACCGCCATCTTTCTTAGGCTGAGGAGAGACGATCTCAACCTTCTTTTTGGTCTTCTTCTCCAGCTTCGATTTGATCGAGGCAGGGTCCACTTTACCAGTAACAGTTAGTTTATTGGATGCAGGATCGGCCTTCACATCACTCACACCTACAAACAAGGAGGAAATTCCTTCAATTAGTTAACCACTACACGAACAAAATTTGAAAAAGTTCAAACAAAACCTAATCCGAAATCACATTTGATCAAATCAACAAGAAAAAAAACATCAACAATCAAATTATGAAATGGCAGGAGGCTCAGATATTCCGGATCATTCGTTACTTCGTGATATACCTCGAAGCATCGTGGAGAACAAAATCGCCAAAGAAGAAAGCCGAGAAGAACAAAATCGTTTCCAGTACAGGTAGAGATGAAAAATTGGGGAAAAAAACACAAAAAAACTCGGAAGAGATTCAAAATCGCTAAGTCAATCAATATTTACCTTCCAAATGCTTCACAGCGCGTTTCACTTTCTTAGCACAGCCATCACAATGCATATCGATCTTAAAAACGACAGTGACAGAACCGTCGTCCTTCTTCTGACCGGCATCGCCGGCCTTCTTCGCACTTTCAACTTTCTGAAACCAAAACAAAGACAAAAATTAAAGTCAAATCCACAACAATTACAGCAAAACATCCTCCACAATCGGAAGCGTGCAATTGATGAACAAGAAATTGAAAGAGAAAACGAGGAAGAAGCATAAAGCGCATGAGACTCGGCTCTGTAACTAACCTCGCCCATTTGTTATGTGAAGTCTCTGAACTTCCCGTTGCTTGAAGTGTTGGGAAATAGGAAAAAACGCGTATTTATAGTAGCGTGGGATGTATGATGTGCCGTTCATGTATTTATGATGTTGAAATTGCCATGGTTATGATTATTATTATTATTTATTTATTTTATTGGGCTTTGGCTTGGGTGCCGCTTGGCCATCAATTTAGACTCCGCGGCTATTTGACTCGTTGTTTGACTTGACCCACGTGTTAAATTATAAATAATACAATATATTAATTTCATATAAATTCGTTATCCAATTTTACTAAATTTCAAAATTTTAATTTAACCTTTTTAAATTAAAATTACATTTTTAGTATTTATTTATTAAAACATAATCTAATAATTAATTATTTCCGTGTTTTCATTAGCTATTTAAATTAATACTATAATAATCTAATATTAATAATTTGTTTGATAACTATTTTATTTTTTAAAATTGGGTCTATTTATCAAAGTATTTTAAAATTACAATATTACCCTTAAATTTATATCGATATTTTAAAACTACTTAGAGCAGAAAAAACGTTATAACTATTACAAAAATTATTAAAAATCAATAAAATATATATATATATATATATATAACTATATAGTTAATTTTTATTTTGATTTATTTTCTTTTAAATGATTAATTTCCATTAAGGAACAACAACATAATAATAAAAATAATTAAATAAAGCAATGAAGATGCGTGTGGGACAGGGACAAGACGCCTATCACATTTCTCAGCCTGTCAAATGGGGTGAGTCCTAGCAGGAAAAACGAACACCTATATAATATATATATATATATATAATTGTTTATTAATTTGGTGAGTTAATTTTAGTCCAAACAACATTTTTTTTAATATAATATATGATGGGGTGGAAATATAACCTCAAATATTTGATGAGTTGGTCTCTATTCATAAAGTATATGTATATATATAATTCTATTAAACTTCTCGGAATAAGAGTTTTGTTTGATTAATAATTTACAATATAGATGAATACGACTCTTTACATCGGTATAATAATATTGTCCACTTTGAGCATAAGTGCTCATGACTTTGCTTTGGACTTCCCAAAAGGACTTACAACAATAGAGACAGTACTATTTGATTATAAACTCATGATCATTCCCTAAATTAGCCGATGTGAGACTTTTATCCAACACCTCCCCTCGAATAAAGTACGCCTCCCCTTAATCGAGACTCGACTCCTTTTTCTTTTGAAGTCAGTCATTTTTTACTATTATTTGAATAAGAGTCCTTTGTTTGGCATGGTTCTGATATCATGTTAGACGAACACGACTTTTCACAATGGTATGATATTGTCCACTTTGAGCATAAGCTCTTATGGCTTTGTTTTGAACTTCCCAAAATGTCTGACCCCAATGAAGATAGTATTCATTGATTATAAACTCATAATCATTCCATAAATTAGTTGATATAGGACTTTCAGTTGTGTTCGTCTAACAAAAATGATTCTTTTGGTTGTATTTTTTTTATTTTTTTATTTTTTGCGTATTTGGAATATTTCGATTTCATTTTTGGATTTAATCGAACTATCTAGCGTTTCTAGAAATAAAATTTAAATTAATCTAATTTTTTAAATTTACATTTTAATAATAAAAGGAAAATTCTCTAGTGGAGACGGGACTAATTATTTAATAGAATAAAAGGTGTTTTTTTTGTGACATAAAATCTTTGTAGATTGCAAATATCTCTACGGATCAAACAAATTTAATTTTTGGACTCCACGTGATTTGTCGTTATTACAATAGTACCAAACAAATAAAAGTACTTTTTGTTTCCTTTAAATAAATAATTAATAATTATTATTATAAATGCTATTTTCATGGGGAGACCATAAAAAAACCATATTTGTAGATAACGACTATTAAACTTGTAACACAATTAATTTCAACATTTTAAAGTGTTTTAAAAATAAGTGATAACCTCGATCAAAGTTCACTAGATTCGATTCGATTCAATTAAGCAAAGACCAATCATATGTCTAAATACTCAGCGGTTGATAGACAAAATGAAAGAAATTTCGTCCTAGTTTCGTGGACGTGTAGAAAGTAAAAAGGGAGCATTGGTTGATTGATTAGGTTTGAAGGTTCCATATTGTTTCCCCTTTATTTGGATACAAATTCCATGAAGTTTCCTTCCCTAAGGGACCCTACCCATTGAGTCCAACTAAACCCAATAATGGAGATGGAACCCACATTCATAGGAACCCACCTTCATTCTCTTGACTTGGGTTTGGGTCTTCTATGCTTGTGCCTCACTCCATTTACTTGTCTTTATATATATATATATATATATATATATATATTTTAGTTTTAGGTTGGTCACCGTTAAAAATAAATCATTTTCGAACATATTTTATTTAGCATTAATCTATAAGGGAAGGGAGACTTGTGACAGTTCAAGCCCACCACTAACCGATATTGTCCTCTTTGGGCTTTCTGTTTCGCACATCCCCTCAAGATTTTTAAAACGCGTCTGCTAGAAAGAGGTTTTCATGCCCTTATAAAAAATGCTTTGTTCTCCTCTTCAACCGAAGTGAGATCTCATAGTCCACCCTTATTTGGGGCCCAGCATCCTTGCTGGTACTTGTTCATCTCTCCAATTGACGTGGGATCTCACAATCCACCCTTCTTTGGGGCCCAGCATCCTCCCCGGCACTCGTTCCTCTCTCCAATTGATGTGGGATCTTACAATCCACCCCTCTTTGGGGCCCAACGTCCTCACGGGCACTTGTTCCTCTCTCCAATTGACATGCGATCTCACAATCCACCATTTTTTGGGGCCCAACATCCTCGCTTGCACATCTTCCAGTGTTCACCTCCTTCGAAACTCAATAGGAAAAAACTAGGTATTTAATACCTCATCCAACCTCAAGTGTTATACAACGATCATCAGTGTTGGACTTAAAAGTTTAGCAAACATCTTTAGTCGAGAAATTTCACTTTTTAACAAATATTAAAAAATTTAAATTTTTGTTTATTTATTTATTTTTTAATAATAATAATAATAATAGTCAAAAGTCATGTAAGGATTTCTCCATAATCTTTAATTTAATTTTTTTTAAAAGTTGGATTTCTCTATAATTTTGGGCCCAATTTGAAGGCCCATGTAAAAGTTGACCCAAGCCCAGTTGGCCTCCTTGAACTTCGTTGACTGGGTCAAAGAGCATACGATGTCGTTTTATAGCGTAGACGCGATTTCCTTGTTACTCCATCCTCTGAACAATCTCTCTTTCTCTCTCGCTAGGGCTCTCTGGCGGAAGAACCGCCGAATAAAACCCTAAATCTTACTCAGATTCTTCCGTAGTTAGGCTCTCCGGACTCCAAACCAAGAAGATGGGAGGAAAGTGCCCTCACAGAAGCGTCAAGAAGCGGAGATACTCGCACAAGACCGCTAGGCGTACGAAATTTCTCATCAATGATATCCTTTTACTCTCTAGTTTAATGGGATTTCCTCTTTCAATTCTTCTTATGTTTCCTGTATTATTTACGTTTTTTTTTGGGTGTTTTACTTAACTCGATGAATTGGTGAATCACGCGACGATATGGTTTACGATGCGTTGAAGAAACCTGAGGTGGAGAGGCCTTCTCTACCTGTTGATGAAGACTTGCCTGGAATGGGGCAGTATTACTGCTTGCACTGCGAGTATGTTCTTTCCTCCGTTAATGTTTTTTTTTTATTACTTGACATGAAATTCATGTAGAAAATTGTTTCTCATGCAAGTTGAATCAGTCGAATTTAATATCAAGGAATAAATTTCATTTAATTCCATTCTGACTTTAAAATGAATCATTAGTGTTCATGATTAGGTTTAGATGGAGCTGGAGGGCTGAAATATTTAGTAAGTATTGTTAGCTTCATCTTGAATGAAATTCAGAAGTAAATTTTGAGGTTTACTACTTATAAGGGATTAGTGGAATGGGAAAAACAGTGTAGTGGGTTGGGGCTTGCGTATTTTGATTTAATTACTGATGGCGGTTGGAGTTCTATAATATTTGTATTCATGATTGGTGGTTTCAGCCGATACTTTGCGAATGTATCTGTGAGGGATGAGCATTTCAAGACCAAGCGTCACAGGAAGCGGTAAGCTATGCCAATTGTCACTTGCTCTTGCTTCTTTTTGTTACTTTTTTAATTCGCTTTTAGTTTTTGCTTTGTGAATCTGTAGACAATTTCACGTAATGAATTGTTCTCTCTCTATTGGTGTGTAGGTAAAATTATAACTTAATTTTAAAAAATGGAATGAACTACCTTACGCCGTGCTTGATAACCATTTGGATTTTGGTTTTTGAAAACTATGGTTGTTTTCAAAATTTGACTTGGATTTGGAAAATGTATGTGAAAAGTAGATAACAAAACAAAGATACCCATTAATAGAAGCAGCGTTTACAAATTCAATTTTTGAAAACAAAAAAGTGATCAACGGGGGCCTTAATTTCTTAAGTTTCCTCTCTCGATCCTTTCTTAATATGTTATAGATATGGCACATGTGTTTGTGACTCTGATTACATTCATTTGATTGTAAGATATGAAGTTGGTATGATTGTATTAGTGAAGAGCATTTGATTTGCAATTGTAACAATGTTACTATCCACAACGACAATGGTGCAGGGTAAAACTTATGATGGGTCCTGCACCCCACACGCAACTGGACGCCGATTTAGCTGCTGGGATGGGCATGCCTGATAATGGTCCAAAGCTTATGGCAATGTGAGCTTATCACACAACTTAAATCATTTTTGGTGTTGTAGAGAGCTTAGAATGAGGTTTGTTTCTTGTTTAACCAAAAGGATCAATTTTATCATACATTTTATGCCCATGTATTATTGTATTTTCCGAGTTTGTTTTATGAATCAATTTTAGCTTCGTTTTTCGCATGAGCTTCCTAGTTTCGTGTTATGTTACATTCCTACCTAATATAACCCCATGGCTCTTCTTAGTGATCATGGAGAGCCCTGTTAATAGTACAAGGTTTTACTGAATGACTCTTCCTTGTGGTCATGAAGAGACGAAAATAATAAAAGGCTTAGAGGGAATCATTTTATGTCATGGTGGCCACCTATTTAGAATTAGTAGAGTCGGGTAGTTGTCCTATTCTCAATATATCGCTTCGTGAGGAATTGTATGGTAGCGATGTAGGCCAGTTTAGGCGTGAATGGTGGTGCGTTCACATAGAAGAACTACTACTACAAAGATCGGTTTAGTTTAGGAAAATTAAAGTTATACATTGAAGACGAAAATTTCTCTCTATAACACGAAAAGAAAGCGAGATACTGGAATACGATGGAAGGAGCGAAACAGACTGATAGTATAAAATTCATTCAGTGTTCAACAGCCAATAAAGTGAAGATTGTATAAACTTTTGCTCCAAGTTGTTTAGATCCATGGACTTATTTGATGGCTAAACTTGTATGATCTCACCATCTCCACCCAAATTGAGTATTAATTATTAACTGCACTCTATTTTTTTTATTATTTAAAGCTTATCAATCCAAATTCTTTTCACTTTTCATATGATATCACATTTTTATACGTAACAACTCAGGCCCATTGTTAGTCGATATTGTTCGCTTTTGCCCACTATGTGTCGCTGTTGGCCTCAAAATATGTCTATTAGGGAGAGATTTTCACACTTATAAAAAATGTTTTGTTGTTTTCTCCAATTCACTCTCCCCGTTATGTGTCGCTGTAGGCCTCAAAACATGTCTATTAGAGAGAGATTTTCACAATTATAAAAAATGTTTTGTTGTTTTCTCCAATTCACTTCCCTTGAGGACAGTACGGTATTAGCCCATGTTAGCTCATGTCCAATATTGTCGTTTACTCCTTTAAAGAGGGTCTAAATTAGTCTCTAAATGAGAGAATCATTTTGGACTATTTAATTTCATAATTTTAAACATACCCTTAATTATTAGTATTACTCATTATTTTTTTTGTATTGAATGGTTTAAAATTTATAAATCTATATCTATTTCTTTACGATATTAAAAAATGAAGATTTCAAAAAATCACTAATTTACAAAATATATCTTTCTGGGAAAGAAAATCAATGTAAAAAGTCCCTTTTATTTATTTATTTATTTTTAATTTGAGGCTAAATTGTATTATAATTATGAAAGGAAATTGTTTTCGGGAAAGAAAATCAATGTAAAAAGTCCCTTTTATTTATTTATTTATTTTTAATTTGAGGCTAAATTGTATTTTATTATATGATATGAACTAGATTCTATTTTTTAATTTATGACAACAATTTTCCTCTCAAAATCAATTTCCCACCTGATTATATATATATATATATATATTTTTTTTTTTTTAATTTTGTTGAAAAAAAAAAGATTGGAGATGGTGGGGTTGCAAATGAAAGCTCCCTAAAATTGCGAGGGAGAAGAGAAGAGCGAGTCTCAGGAATAGGGCTCTCCCTTCGCCATTTTGCTTGAAAGCCCCATTTTCTCTTTCAATCTATCAATAAACATCTTCATACTCCATTCTTCCCTCAACTTCCTCCTCTTTTCTTCCCAACTCGCTTCCATTTCCTCAGGGATTTACTTCAATTCAGGTCCGCATTCTGTTCTTTTCTATTTTTTGTTCGAACGAATAACTCCATCTGCTCTGCATCTCATTTTGAATCTTCCATTGTTGCTCATTTCTATTCCGATTTCCCGTAGTTATTGTTCTTGTTCTTGTTTAGTGACTCAATCTTCATTTGTTATTGTTGGATTCTTGTTCTTGTTTATTCTTGTTCTTCTTTAGTGACTCAATCTTCCTTTGCTATTGGATTCTTGTTGTTCTTGTTTTTGTTGGATTCTTGTTCTTGTTTAGTGACTTCTTTTGTTATTGTTGGATGAAAGTGGACAATATCCTATAATTGTAGAGAGTCGAGTTCATTTAACAATTGTTAGGTTCTTGTCTAGTAACTCAATCTTCCTTTGTTGTTGTTGTTCTTGTCTTCGAGATTTTAATGCGAATAGTTGATCTGTTTCCCTCTTTTCGATCCCTTTTGAACCAGAGTTCATCTAATACAATGGTTTGTTAAGATTCATCATAGAATTTCAATGTAATGTTGATTCTGTTTATGTTGGGAATCAATTCTTCGTCGTTGTTTATGCTAGTCTACAATGGATACCTTCCTCTTCACTTCTGAGTCCGTCAATGAGGGCCATCCTGACAAGATTTGTGACCAAGTATCCGATGCTATCCTCGACGCGTGCCTTGAACAAGATCCCGAGAGCAAGGTCGCTTGTGAGACCTGCACCAAAACCAACATGGTCATGGTGTTTGGTGAGATCACAACTAAGGCCAACGTCAACTACGAGAAAATAGTTCGAGACACTTGCAGAGGAATCGGATTCATCTCTGCTGATGTCGGTCTTGATTGCGACAACTGCAAGGTCCTGGTGAATATAGAACAACAGAGCCCTGACATTGCCCAAGGAGTCCATGGACACATGACCAAGAAACCTGAGGAGATTGGAGCTGGTGATCAAGGCCACATGTTCGGTTATGCCACAGATGAAACCCCAGAGCTCATGCCACTCACCCATGTCCTTGCTACACAACTTGGTGCCAAGCTCACTGAGGTCAGGAAGAACCGAACCTGCCCATGGCTTCGGCCCGATGGTAAGACGCAAGTGACCGTCGAGTACAAGAATGAGAATGGAGCTATGGTCCCTGCTAGGGTCCATACTGTTCTAATCTCAACCCAGCATGACGAAACTGTTACAAACGAACAGATTGCTAAAGATCTGAAAGAACATGTCATAAAACCTGTCATTCCTGCAAAGTATCTCGACGACAATACTATCTTCCATCTCAATCCATCTGGTCGGTTCGTCATTGGAGGACCTCATGGTGATGCAGGACTGACTGGAAGGAAGATTATCATTGATACCTATGGAGGGTGGGGTGCTCATGGTGGTGGTGCCTTCTCAGGGAAGGATCCAACAAAGGTAGATAGAAGTGGTGCCTATATTGTCAGGCAAGCAGCAAAGAGTGTAGTTGCTTCAGGACTCGCTCGACGCTGTATCGTGCAGGTTTCTTATGCAATAGGAGTAGCTGAGCCCCTGTCAGTCTTTGTAGACACCTACAAAACAGGAAAGATCCCAGATAAGGATATCCTTGTCCTGATTAAGGAGAATTTTGACTTCAGGCCTGGAATGATTGCAATCAATCTCGACTTGAAGCGAGGAGGAAACTCAAGGTACCAGAAGACGGCTGCTTATGGTCATTTCGGCCGTGACGACCCAGATTTCACCTGGGAAACTGTAAAGCTTCTCAAGCCAAATGCCTGATTGGCTCAATATAATGTCTGCAAGCGATGATCACAACCATCAGTGTGCTTGCAGCAAAAATAAAGTAGCTTTTTTCATACACATTTGTTTGTGTTTTTGTATACCCAATAGAGAAGTGTGGCTAGATTTGCCTGCTCTCTGATTAGCTCAGGACGTCTTGTCCCGAGTTTGTACAACTCGAATCCTCTATTCTTTATTCTTTTCATTTAGTAAAAAATCTACCCTTATTATTAACTGTTGCTTCCAGATCCAACTGTGCTGTGACTGCCTTGGATTTTACAATGTTGTAATTCTTTTATATCGACTTTCAACTCTCGAGGTGATCGTGAACAAGTTGTGCTTCAAATTCACCTAAAAAATGCATTTTCCCACTTGACACTAGTGATTTAGATGTCAAAAGAAACCGAGTATCCATTGTAAATCTACCTTTAAGAACAATCTACATGACTTCATAAGAGGATAAAATGAAATGCTTACTAGAAATGATCTTGTTTATAAAGAGAATGAGATGGATACAGAAATGAGCTCAATTTCTGAACCAAATACCAAAACAGAGCCATTACCAACCTAACTATCAGTGTGTATTCCTCATCCTCATAACTGATGATGACAAATGATGATGATGTGGTGGTTAATCTAACCTGGCTTTAGGAATGCAACCACAACCGGTCGTGCAGTCGTTCTTCCCCAGTACCAAACATCTCGTCTACTCTTTCACCGTCGCGATAAAAATGAAATGTCGGGGTGTATCGGATGTGTTCAGTTGTTTCTGGACATTCATCAATATCTGCATAGATGAAAGAAACCTTTGGAAAATTGTTACTCAGCCGACAGAATGCTGGAAGAATTTGACTGCATACACGACACCTGAAACGAAAAATAAAAATCCCTTTAAGCCCTGCAGGTTCTAATATCAGCAAACCAATCCATAAGCCCTTTAAGCCCCCTGCAGGTTTTAATATCAGCAAACCAATCGTTGAGGCCTTAAAACAAGAAACTGAGTAGTACCAGATTCTATCAACCATCTCTCTGCAATGGTAATGCAGAGATTTGTTGGTAAGTTTTTTTTTAACATCAATCCAAGAATTGAAGTCATCGCTCTTGTCATTCAGTGTGAACCAGACCAATTTTTACAACCCCCATTATGGAAGTGTTGCCAAGAACAGTGATTCATGGTGAAATGAAAAGTGCAAGTTTAATTCATCTCTTATGAAATGAACCAATCGCCTATGTTTAGAGAGAGAAACATTTCTGAATCTAATGATACGACCTAGTTATCTTTCTTTCCTTGTTTTCGGCTAGTCTTTTTCAGCATTTCTCACACAGGCATATACTCAAACACCTTGCGTTCAATACGCTAAAGAAAAGTTTGGACTTACCAGGATGCACCATAATTGATAACTGCCTGCAAATCATTAAATGAACAGAATCAAACAATCAATATTCCAAAAACTAGCGACAGAACAAAGGGGATCGAAAACCCCATAACAGAGAAGCTTTATCCCGTTGACGCTAACACAGTTTTCCAGGCCAAGAAATAATACGAGAATGGCAATTTAGGGAAACGGGAAACAAAATTGATGAGGTATTAGGAATTTTACAGTGGTTTTTGAGGACTTGATTTGAAGAAGAACATCCTTGAAATCTTGATCGCTAGAAGCACTTTTCAAGTTGCCATGGCGATTGACTGTAGGATCCAAACCAGCGCCTTCTAGCCCCTTCTTCTCCTTGTCTTCCATCCGCTTTTGGGTGTACGGCGGCTACTGCTTCCAAATTTGATTGCCGAAGAGAATTCAATCTCTCTTTTATAGCTTGCGTTATCCATTATTTTCCTTGTTCTCCTTCTCATCTTGAATTTAAATTTAAAACTATATTTTATATTTTTTAAATGGTTAAAAGACTATTATAATATTAAAATTGTTGATTATTATATATATTTTTTACTTAGATGGATTTATTAGAATTTTTTTTTAATAATTTTATAACAAAATTTCTATCGAAAAAATGAATCCCGCCGAAACAAAGATAGGGAAGACTTTCCCATCTCCTCCCTGCCCCCACGATGTGTAAGATATCCTTGAGGATTTGTTCAATAAAGTATCGTTAGCATATTAAATATATATGAGATATAACATTGTTGAAATATATTCGATACCTAAGAAGGTCTCAAATGAAACTTTAGTCTAATTAGAACAACAAAATAATAGATACGTTCATTATTGAAATTCAATTTCTTGATCTGTAATCAGTCATTCACAACCACTGATGAAGGATTCCTCGTAATTCCTGGAAATTTAGAGGCGTTGAGGACAAAGAAATTGTTACCTATTGTGTCCATTAGTCTGTATATAATACAATGAAATCATTGAGGATTAGAGAAATTGGAAAACATAATAATAAACTCAATCAGATAACCCTTGGGATTCTTCACAATTTTGTCAACAATAAGTGATTCCTAAGGTTATTATTTGTCTCTATTGAGTTAAAGCAATTGGATACCTTCACAAATCACAACAGCAGGTTCCAATATGAGGATCTTAACTCTGTCCCTGCAGCTGCCAATGTTATTCTTCGCCCAAAAGAGAATAATTGTTCGTCGGATGTCACCATTTGAAGGTAAAGAAGCTAAAGAGATGCCGTTCAAACTGTCACTTGCAAGTTTTGGAGAAAATCCACTTTTGGTGGGATTATTTTGAATTTGGATCAATGATTTTTGTGCTTTTGGAGTGTTGCAGAGCCCAAATTATGAATTAAATACGTCTTCGTCTTCGTCTACGTCTACGTCTACGTCTTCAACGCCTGATTGTCAAACTCTTTTATCAGTTACCTGTCTCGACTTAGAACGAGTCCGAGTAAAATAAGAACCTACGTTCAATGACACAAAAGGAGAGTTAGTACTTTAAAAAGTTGAACTGCTAAAGGTGACGATCGAACTAAAAAAAAAGGTCAGCAGCCTACTCAAAAGAACCAATAAACAAACTAGACAAATCTAGGACAACAAAGCTTGGGGGGTACTAACAAAAATCTTTGGAAATTATGCCCAAATGTATGCATTAAACCTAACAGATGATCAAGCCTCCTCACAAGTTCCAAGCTCTCTTTAAAGCCAAAATCACAGTTCAGCCACAGCAAGAAGAATTCAGATGAATCTCAAAAAGGAAGAAAAAAGAGGGCATCTAACCGAAACTCGGAAGCATATAATCTTGATGACAGTATAGCATATAAACCATATCGGATGAAAAAAGCTAAACCATAAATTCAACTTACTGATTCATGAGCCTTTGGTGCATAAAAGTTGCAGAGTATCATCACTTAAACAGCTAAGCAATCCTCTACCGAAGCCATACGAATATTTAACGTCACGAACAGGATGCTTATGTACTTTAAGATGCTGAAAAGACCTAAAAGAAGGCAGTTCCTGCAGGATCAATTCGTTCATTACTGCATCTCCGAATACAAACAAACTACTGCAGTCTTGTAAGTCTATGATAGTAGATTTCGGCAGGCGTATTGCATCTATATTGGCACGTGCAGAACCCAACTTTGAAAATTTTTGGAAATTTTCTTCTTTCTTGAATGCCATGTGGCACCCATCAACTCTATGCCCAGCAGTGTGGGAAGGAGAAGGTGAAATCTGAGAATAAGGTATCTCACTTGGCATTCCAACTTTGGGACGATATGAAGCAACAATTTCGTCTCGGCTCGAGCAATAGGCCAGAGATGTACAAACTCCTTGATTTGTTTCTGGAACTAAAAATGGCCTTCAAAGTGTGGCACAATTGTAGAAAATATTAGAACATGTGGTATAGTAAGGGACGTGATAATTTTATGACAGGTTAAAAATGGCCTTCAAACTAGTAAACAGCCTTCCCTCTTTCCCCCCTAGGAATTAAGGTGGTACTAATAGCAAAGACAGTTTATATAGGATAGTGTTGCATTACATTTCCATGTAAGGAATTGATTTTTTTTTTTTTTTTAAATGTCCATGAAAGGAATTGATGAATAAAGAATGGCTCAAGTAAGATATGAGAAGATATCCAACATACCATAAATGCAATAGTAAATGACACGATAATTAGGTTAAATTACAAGTTAGTCCTTGAATTTTAAAAAGTGTCCTATTAGACATTTTTTGGAGTTAAGGACCAAATAAACAAGGATCTTAAAGTTCAAGAACTAGACTTGTAATAACCTTTTATGATATGGTTACTTCAAACATTATGTTATAAAGCATGGTGAAAAATGAAGCAAATATTTCAGTTCTACCGATCAACAAAGAAGCAACATAAAAAGAAAACTGCAAGGGCAAGTAAGCACACTATCACTAGAGAACTCTCTAGCACTGTAAGCACAGAGCATGGATTCATAGCACATCAGCTTACCCTTCTTCTGAGGCATCGAAGTTCCATTGGCATACGCCATATGCAGAAGCAGACAGAACAGATTTAACATCATTAGAAAGAGTTAAATTATTTGAAAGAGAATGTATTGTATGGACTGGATTGCTCGTTATGCCTCGTAAGGTTTTCAAGGGACCCACAGTTTGGCGCATATCAAACATCATGAGCGAACCATTCTGAAAGGGGGGAAATTTTTTTAATAACCCATCGTAAGCTCAATGAAAGCTTCATAATTGTCTAGGAATGTTTGGACTGACCTTTAATCCAGCATAAACATAGTGTGAACTATTCTGATCCCATGAACACGACCAAGCAGCATCCTGAAGATATAAGCATTGATTTAAACAAAACATAGTGAGACTTAAACACTTCATATAGACTATAACACTATATTACAGACTTAAAATCAAACATAGATCCCATGAACATGACCAAGCAACATCCTTATAATTGTGCTGTTTCTCTCTTCTTCTTTTTTTCTTTTTACAAGAGGGCCGATGTCCCACGAATTGGGCTGTTTCATGTATAAATCCTAAAATCAATTGCAAAAAGTGTCCTTTTAATTCACATCACCACAAACAGTAACATACGCTTTTAAGTATGATACCAAGATCAGA